GATTCGATACATCGAATTATATATCCTTAGGACTTTTCAGACAATATTTCACCACAAAATATGTTATTAGCAAAATGTTACAAAATTTTAAATTTATTACCGCAACTGAGTTATTTATGTATATTTCTAACGGATCTTTTAGGAGCCATTAAAATTTTTTGGTCAAAGTTACTCTCTTTTTTGAACAATTGAAAAACGCGCGGTTCAATATACTAGAGATGCCAGTTTTCAAAAAAACATCGATTCATCGATACATCGAGTGGAAAATTTTCGCTGCATCGAAGAAAAACATGGATATTTTCGATGCATCCATGGTTCTCTGACATCAATGCCAACCACTCTAATGACAGTAAATTACAACGCTCCAAAAATTATTAAACTCTTTCCAAGTCACGGTGCACATTAGGGTACGTAATTTTTTTTTACTATGGGCAAATTTTCCCAAGAAATCATGGGTCTAAAATCAATTTGGAGTTTGCCATATTACGAAAATAAGTTTCAAAAAAGAATGTGAAAGTTTTCACTGTTGCGTCCTCTGGTGGACGTTTTCAGAAAAAGGTAAGTGCTTAAATGGATTCCTCTTACGAAAAAAACCCCTTATAGCATGTTTTAATACAAAATTTAAGCATTTCCTTACGACACTACAGCCAAATGCTAAAATATCTAATTTAACGATTTGGCAAACTCCAAATTGATTTTAGGCTCATGATTTACCGTTGAAACACAATACCGACGAACGGCGAATTTTCGCACAGTAGTGCGTCGACAGCGGAAACTTTCGTCCAAAAATTTCGCCCAGTAAAAAACAACTACGGCGACAACGAATTCAGCTGCTTATGACAAGGTACAATTAAAATTTTTACAAACAATAAGATTATTAATTTTTAACAAAAACTAATACAGTATTTTTCAATTTGGATTTAAAAACTTGAGAATATATTTAGCATATGGACACAATGGATCGTATTTTGCCGCTGCCGCTAGCGACGACGATAGAAATAAATCTATCGTTGCGAACAGTCGTCGGACGAACGTCGTCGTTTGCTTTGGTTGTGTGCGTTCTCATACACAACAGTGTGTTTTAATTTTTACAGCGAACATTCGCAGCGAAAAGTTCGCCGTTCGTCGGCATTGTGAAACACAATGCGGTTATACGGAGAATTTGCTAAGAACTACAAGTAGAATCCTTCTGTGCTATACGCGTATAGTTGCAAAAAAATGTCCCATACAAATTGACCCGCCCTAATGTACACATGCCAATTTTGAATAATTTGCCCTTCGTTACTACGGCAATGACTCAGGTTTTTAATTTTATCCATTTTCATAAGCGATCTATCTTGCATCAGCAGTAACTTATGCTACGAGTTTTGCTAATTTAGGTTATAAATAAATTATGACAAATCCGTACATATCGAAAATTTATGAAATTACCATAAATGCATATGTTTACTCGCTTTTTCCCAGAACCGGTTTTCGAGTTATTAAAAAAATGGAAATTTCATGGGTTTATTTTGCATAGTTTTTATACAGTGAAAATGCTTATGTTGGTATGATGTCATGACCAAAAATTACAATAAAATGATTTATAGTCAAAATAGTGTTTTTTGTACACAGAAAAGAGCAAAATTTTTAATTATGATTTAGCAGACCAAAAAATACCAAAAAACAAAATGTATATATTTTTAATCAATGAAAAATTCACGTTTGGTCTTATTTTAACTGTTTTTAACCCTTTATTTATTGCATTTTTTTTTTACTTTTTTGCGGCTATTGCCGCCGTCGCCGAGTGCTAAGGCAAACCTCCTAGTGTACTTCTGCCATAAAAAGGCTTTTTCGGAGGTGGAGTGAGAGTGCAGAGCTCTCCATTTCTGTCTGTTGGAATCATTTATGATATATAATGTTCATCCCAAAATAAAGTACGATATAATTTTAGAACTATTTAGGAGTTTCTCTTAAACTGGCAAAAGCCTTGCAAAATTCAAAAAACTCAAAACTTTTATTGAGAGGTCAAGACATGTTTGAAATTAAAAAAACGGGATTTTCGATCAAAAAATCTGGTTTCTGCGATATTCGGAAAATCAAAATCAAAAAGGCTATATTTGTATATCAAAAAAAGAAACAAAAAAAACATTGTAAACCGGGTTGGAAAAATCGAGTCAATCACCCTAATACATACATATGTACACGTATTAGCTTCAATAGAACAAAAAAAAAAATCACCTAACATATTTTATATTTGCAATCTAAACAGTTCGAAATTTTTGTGTTCATTAGCATGTACACAGCAACTTAGTGAATGGTCCAGCGGCCAATGAGCGCACTTAAGCTGCCAGCTTTGACTTTTGTTTACGCAATTAATAATTTTTGTTTACAATTAATAAATACTTACGGGCAAGTGTTTTAAAATATTTGATATTTTGCATAGACACATTTTTATGTGCCCGCTTGCGATGATATAAATTATGAAAAATTTATGAAAGAAGGCATTTGATTTAAGGCGCTGCTTGTGAGTAAGGAGTAATGTAATGAATAACCAAATAAAGCATATCGTTAGTTTGGTAGTATAATGTCTTAATGAAAAACTTGTGTGCTAAGTAAAAAAGTCAAGCCATCTGATAGGGGAGGCATCTTCGATGCTGCAGAGCCTTAGCTGAGTCGCAATTCTGCTCTGACCAAGAGCTGTTAGCTTCTAATGAGCCAAAATTACTCCTTGACTATAAAAAAATTGGTCTAAAATAGTGTTCTTCGAAAAAAAACATGCAAAATCCACCGCGTTAGTGCAAAAAATTTTTATGTACACTAATATTATCGATTTTGAGAAGAGAAACACGATTGCACTGTATTAAAAAAATCGAAAAAAATTTTAACACCTCAGTTTTAATAATGCACTTTTTATGGCGTGCTTTTCTACTTAAATGCAGCTGCATGAGGCGTGGTATTTAGAAATTTTTAGGCCCTCTGGGAGCCAAGTTATAACAATTTTAAACCAAACTTCGAATCTGCTGTACGAGTTCTTACTCTGAAATTAGAAGAAAAATGCGCAAAAATGTCGAATGAAATTTCGAAGTTTAACTTCAGAATCGTTATAATTTGGCTCTCAAAGGGCCAGAGACTTCTACTTTGCTGAAATTAATGTTCTTGAATAGCACTAAAACGTACTTGTTTTTCGAGAGATATAAAACTGTGTGAAGGATGCATCGCTGCATGTAAATCATAAAAAATGCAATATAAAATGCATTTTTCAAATTGAGGGGTACAATTTTTTTCGTATTTTAAACAGTGGAACCGTGTTTTTCGTCTATATTATTAGTATAATAAAACGTAGAGAAATATTTTTTTGGAACAAATGCGCTGGATTGTGCATGTTTTTTTCGAAGAACAATATTTTTGACCACTTTTCTTAAGGTCAAGGAGTAATTGTAGCTCAATGCCAATATTTTTCTATGAAAGGGAATCGCATTAGCTTTCAAAGCATTTTGTTTCATATCCAAATGTCTGCTTTTGTCGAAAGCGCTACGATTAATTCGCATGACGTGTTCAAAAGGCCCACTGTGCACCATGGGGACTAACTGACGTCTTGCCTCGGCTCAGGGCTCAACTGCGGTCGAAGACTGAGAGCGCTCATTTAAATCTAATACCACTGTGCTAGCCTCGTCGAGCAGGTGGTCGTAAGAAGCAGATAAGCAGCAGCAATAGCAACGACAGCAACAACAACAACAAAGGAACAGCTGACATAACGAGGATTTATGAAATTTGAACCGTATTTGACCATGGAAGGCGGTGCACAGCCGGCAGCTCCACATCGAAATTTGCACAGCTTATGTAGCTACAGAAGCCCGATCAAAAATCGCCGGAAACACCAGTGGCGGTAGATTATCACCAGCGACATGGGCTCAGTGGTGCAGCACCTAGGCGATGGCACAATAATAAACGTAGAGCACGCTGGAGTCTGCGTAAGCAAACGATGAACCGCAGGAAGAGAGTCATATCCTTATAGAATCTTCTGATTTGCGGAGAGGCGGAAAATCGATGATCAAAGCGGGGAAGACGGGATACACTCGAGAAACTGGGAATATGAGCAAAAGGTAAAGGAGGAAAGAAGTTGTACTGGCATATGAAACCGCGCCCGTTGAAAAAGGCAGGTCCGGGAAAACTACAGGGCGGTCAACCACGTCCGTGATGAACAGATAACCAGGAAGACTAGAGACAAGAAAACTGCGCCCGCTGAAAAGCAGAGAAGCGGAAAACTACCACCTGTGCAGATACTGGGCACCAAATGGACTCGATGACATCACAAACGACCAGCAGCAGACCGCTAGAGAAAGTGCTTAACACCGAATCGGTGTCATCGCAGAATATGCAGCGGCGAGGTCGGCCGTGCGGCTAACAAGCAAAGCAGGTAAGCTTGAGTAGTGAAAAGGCACAGCCATGTGCACCTTGAAAGAAGATGACAACACGAACAAGTCGTCAGAGTACGCGATCGCACTGCTGAGAGCTAAAAACGAGGGCAGAACACCAAGAGATAGCGGGTCATAAACAGCTCTGTCGTCGGACAGTGGACTACCTCTAAGCGAACTGAGGCGAGAGCTCCTTTAACAACAAATTAAATAATTTGTGATTTTTCGAGTTTTTGGATACTTTTCGAGAGCTTCTTATGATTTTATCTTTCAAAACTCTCGAAAAGTACCGAAAGATTCCCATGAGGTATTTCGGAGTATTTTCGGGACTTTTAGGGGATTTTCATGATGTTCCGTGTTTAAGGAAAATTCGGATATATTTATGTTTTGACTTCAATTATTCTTAATGTCAAAAAAATTAAAACAAAAGAATTATGGATGCTTTTTGCTAAAAAATATCAGGAAAATATTTCCTTCCTTATCTTATAAAAGTATTAACTAAAAGCTACAACTTTTCTTTTCCCTCTGAACTTGAAGAAGAATAAGTTTTATGAATGAAGAATGAAGAAAAAAAACTATTTGCTTATATCCAATATAGCCTACCTCTTCGCTTCCTTCATCTCGGCTGTCGTTATGTTGTGATTGCACCAGCAATTTCAGTTTCGGACTCTTTGGCAGCCGACGTTCATACAGGCACGTAGACATTGGCACCTTTGCACCGCCCGGATAGTCAACGAATTTCCGACGCAATACCACTTCCTCATTTTCACCATCTGAATCGCACATAGACTCGTCAGCACCAACGCCGTCGCCGTCGCCACCACCGCTTCCATGCACCTGTTGCGTAGCCTGCAGTGCGATGCGATTCTCCACCGCTAAACGCATGGGATTAAAGTTCCGCGAACCGGATGAGCTGCGCCGCAGTAAGTTGTGCTGATGTTGTGACGTGTTGTGCGCGTGATGATTTTGATGATGTGGATGATGAGTTAAGCACTGTGACTGTTTTTCTTGCTGCTCAGGTGGCTGCTGCTCGAAACGCCGCATCAGCTCCATCTTCTCCTCAACGGTCATATTGTTAATACGTAAAGTGTTTGCATCCAAATTACGTATCATGTCGGCGATTTCTGAGGCAAGCGTGCGCCCAGTGCTGAGGGACTTGCGAGCAGAGTGAAAGGTGAGATTTTGTGGTAGTGGTGTCATAACGTCGGCGCTTTCCGCTGCAACATTGGCTTCATACTCGATTTCTTCGGGGGTTTTTGGTGTTAATGCTCTTGTGCGTGCCAAGCAATCATCGCTGACATTGGTGCGGCATGGCAACTCAGCGCGCACGTCAGGCGCAAGCTTCCTTGCCACATCGCTGGAGTGACGCATGCTTGCTGAGCGATTAAGTACTTGCTCGAAATTGAAAGCCTCCGTTTCAGGGAATGGCGTCCCAATTAAATTTGGCTTTTCGTCCTCGACAAAAGTTTTGTATTCGGATATGTAGCTGCGTTCATCGTGCGACGCAATGAATTTAGCTGTGTCCATCGCGGGCGCGAGCATATCGTCCGCACTTCCGCTTGCGTGATAACGAGCTGTATTATTATCACTGCTGGCTGCTGTCCTACAACGAGGCGTGAGTTTATCACAAGCACTTATATCAAGTGCCTTGTCCGACAGTTGCGATTTTTCATGATTAGAGTTGGTTTTTATTTCGCTTACGTTAATGGCTTTACGTATTTCCGGTGTTGCCATTGGCGCTTCGTCTGAGTAGTCATTGACTTTCAACAACGCTTTTAGCTCATCTTCTTCGATGCCCAACTGCTGTGGTTCCATTACCGCCAGTGGCGCTTGCTTTTTCTTTGCTTTTTTCTTATCCTTATCCTTTTCTTTTTCCTTTTCTCTTTCTTTTTCATTGTTCTTCACTCGCTCACTTTTCTTCTTCTTACTGCTACCCAAAAATAGTCGAAATATGCCACTACTGCGCGCGCTGCTACGCGAACTTATTCGCTTATCAACAGCGCCGCCGCCTTCGTAGCTGCTTCGATAGACAACAACATCACTCACATCGCTGGTGCTCATCATCCCTGGTTCACAACTGCCCTTGCCTAGACTTGGCGACGTTGCACTGCGCATGAAATATTTAGATTTATTTTTCTTCTGCTCTTCGCCCTCATTCTCTCGTTTTGCTTTCAGCGTTCTTCGCTCATTTGGCGTAAAAGTGTTTGCTTTATCGCCACTATCAGTGCTCTTATCTTTGTTGCACTCCTTAAGCTTATCGCGCGCAACATTGTTGAGACGCCGACTGTCTTTGACGTCGGCATTTCGTGCGCAGATTTCGTTGTTACCAGCGTTGTCCGCGCTTCCCTCTCGACTGCGTCGACCTCCTTCATTATCGTCTGCAGACGCACTTCTATGACGGACGTGCGCCCCCACTACGGAGGCGGCATTGATAGGTTCACTTGCTGGTGGTGCATATGTGGATTTGTGGCGAAAAACATTTGTGATCTTTACGAAACATTTATGCATTTTCAAAGAAAAAAATCCGAGAAGAACTGATGTGTTTGCAAGTTGTGAAGCAATCTTAGTTGCGTAGATTTTTAAGTATTCTATAATTTTATTAATCACTATTTCCTGTTGAAAAATTTCACGCAGAACACTAAAACTCTTCTAAAACTTCTGAAAAACTATATTTTTTTTTTTACTTTTTTTAGCTGCTTCAATTTTTATTTCATCATCGCTTATTTACTTTTTTCCACTTTCCACTACACACATATGTATCTATGTATGCATGTCTGCATATATGTATTCACCGTCAGTAAGACTACCTTTCAGCACTTCATTGAATTAGATATTTATGAACTTTATAGTATTTTTTAATTCTAACTTTTTCTTTATAAGTTTCATGCTATTCTTTATTACACTAAACCACATTTTCCTTATGACTCTTCGAAATTCACATTTCCGCCGTTCGCTTTGCTTCTTATGCGTGCTCCGTTCGCCACGTCACTAAGAAAGACACTAAAACTTAAAAAATAAAATAAAATAACAAGTTCTACTTCATAGATAGGTACCTACGTAATCACTTGCCAAACAATAATTTAATAATTTAAATAGCTTGTAAACATGGCCAACACCAAGCCTTCAATCATTGAAACTCATAAGCCGTTAGCTATGGTAAGCGCATGTGTATGTGTGCCAGATTATAAAAAATGCCCTGTAGGACCATTGTAAACTAGTTATCAGGCTTAGAACTTTACCACGATCGTAGTAGATTAACTAAGATTTTCGGTAAAAAATTGAATCTTACTACAATACACCGGTTTACCCACAGTCTACTTCTATATTCTTTCGAAAATAATTAAGTGTGTCCATTGCAGTATATGAATTAGAGATGGGCGCGGGACTAAACACTCAATCGCAATTCCGCCCATACGGATGTTTTCAAATTAGTAACGCGGATACCGTGGGTCGCGATATCCATAGCTAAGTAGAAATAAAAAGACTTTCAAATGAATTTTAAATAATATAAATAACTATGTACTTATGTGATAAGGAAAGTTAAATGAACCTACACATAGTGGGTAATATTCGATTAATTTTGTTCAAAAATGACCGGAAGAGTGAGTAGGTAGACTCCTGCTGACTTGAGCGGCCCTCTTATATCTCGAAAACAAATAATCGCAAAATTTTTTTGACCCCAAATTCAAGTTTAATTTCTCAATTTTACCCTAGCATGAAGATTTCATCAAGATATTCGGGAAAAAAATTCATCGGGCCCATATGGGCTAAAAGCCGTATTTTTTGATAATATTGAGTACTTTATTTAAATACCCAGTTTATTTTGGAACGAATTGCCGTCATCCCTTGTCAAATTTGGTTTGGAGACAAACTGGTTTCGGCGTTGTACCATCTTCAGTGTCATTTTTCATTCTGCAAATACTGCAAAACTAAGAAGACGTGCCTAACAAAACAAATAGGTAGTTAATAAGGAGTATAAATATGAGCAACCAACAAAAATTATTCAAATTGACACTGAAGATGGCACAACGCCGCAACCGGTTTGTCTCCAAACCAAATTTGACAAGGGATGACGGAAATTGGTTCCAAAATACATCATACACACATCCTGTCGGAAACAACAACAACCAAAAAGAAAATACATTTGACATTAGTGAAGAAATCCCACAAGCTGACAGCACTTGCAAAGCCATTGCACCATGCACGGAGTGCACGTCAAAAACTGGGTTTCCTATGGGACAGCTTTTCAAACCATGCAATACGTGCACCGTGAAAGGCCTTTACAATACTGCGAGAATATTCCTAATATATAATCATAAATTACCTCAAATGAATGGCTAACTGTACCGGGTACAAGTATTATAATTGAAAATTATTGAAACTTGAAATTGAGTACAATGATTTCTGAATACCGGTAAATGTAAATAAAACTCGGTACTTTAAAGTATCTATTCGACACTTAATTCTGAGTACAATACTTTAAATATATTCTAAACATGTGTCAGAGTGATGATTGGAACAGAGTGTTTTGAGTATTGAGTAATTTCGAGTTCTTTTGTGGATACTGAGTACTTTGGACTACTTTTAAAAATTGGGTATCGTCGGTCCTTTTGAGCAACGAGTTCTGACTTTTGGTTACGATACTGCCCAAAACACGTGTTCTTACCACCTTTAAAATCTGAATTTTGCTCCCAAGAAAAATACTAAATTGAATTGGTCAAAAATAGACGTTTCGAAAGACTGGCATTGTAAAAGATCTGAAACAAGTTAAAAAATCAAACAAAATATTTATAATGCATATTATCATTCCTATGAACAGTCTTTTTATCGATTACCCAATTAAATTAAAACCTCTTTATTTACCTACAAGGCATATCTCCAATAAAACGTACATACATTTATAACATTAAAGCAATCTATATAAATCACTTCTACACATTTATTTCTATATCTTTAATCGCTAGCATAACGCTAGAGTAAAGTAAATTTCAAGTGTTGTTTTTCCGTTATTAAATTAGTAAGCGTTTTGTAATTTTTTTTTTTAGTTTACTTTCCATCAGTGATTTTTGCGTTTGCCTTTTTATGTACATAAGTTACGAATATTTATAAATTTAACATTAAAATGCAAAACAAACACTTTCACGCTGTTATCAAGCGACGTAGTTAAGTGGTGCGCTCTTGGGGAGAGGAAGCTTGTCTGTTACACCTTTTATTCTCTAAAGAATATCTGTGAAGAAGAAGTATATGTATATATGTAGGTTGTATTAGTGATTTGCGGTAGATTCGCTGTTTTTTGATCTTACGTCATACTTTTTCTTAGCAGGTAATAGTTGCTTTCCCTAACTCGCAAGAAGTTGCAAGAATTTACAGGAATTTACCAGAAAGCGTTCCCGTACTCGGTTCTCTGGCTTATTTTCCCTTTTGACAGTCTTACAGGTTTTAACCCTGAAAAGTTGGGGAACGCAACTAATATTGGGCTTCTGAGGTAGTTCGTGGAAAGTGATGCGATAAGAGTAAATGATTAGTAATATCGTATACAAAAATGTCAAACAATAAAAAAAAATTTTGAGATGGTTAAACAGCCTATGCCAAAATCAAAGTCTGGGTCACTACAGCGAGACTGCTAGTCAATCTGGCACCTACAAAAAATTTCCAAAAAAATTAACAGCCCTAGAAAAAAATACTAATATCCTGAATAACAATATCCAAAATGTATCATCGGGTGTGACCGGGGTATTATTTAAATTAATGAAAAAACAAACAGATTTTTTCCTACTCAGCGCTAGGGTTGCCAGCTGTACCCTATTAGGAGGGTGCATACCCCATTTCGACATTTTACTCAAGTCATCAATTTTCAGTCTGGTAAAAATGACTGAATTGTAGCAGCACTGAAAGTTGTGGAGTCAATGTTCCACCGCCTGAGTATGTCTGAGAAACAACAAAGGAGCTAGAGCTGACACCCTGCCAGATGAGCTATTCAAATATGCGCGGCCGGCAAGGTAGCCAGGTGAACGCATGCTTGCCGACTAGAATTTAACTGGTCAGCCTTCTAAGCATAGGTTACAAGGTCTTATCGAGTGTATTGTGTGAAAGACTGAAGCCCATCGTCAACGAAGTGATTTGACCTTGTCAATGTGGCTTTAGACCTGGGAAATCCACCATAGATCAGGTATTCACAATACGCCAAATCTTGGAAAAGACCCGCGTGAGAGTGATCGGCACTCACCACCTATTTGTCTACTTCAAAGTCGCTTTCGATAGCACTAAGAGGAGTTGCCTATACGACGGGATGTCTGAATTTGGCATCCCAGCGAAACTGTTACGGCTGTGTAAAATGATGTTGAGCCACCATCATATGTGATACCACCAACTTCGTAAGAATTGGGAAAGAACCGCGAAGTCTTTTCTGCCTTTTCCAAAATGGAAAACGAATGGGTCTGGCGGTAATCGAGGATAAAGTATCTCCTGTCATCAGACCAACAATCAGGCAATTCACGCCTTGGTATCCACGTCACTGTTGACAGCTATAATTTCGAGAAAGAAGAGAATTTCGTTTAAGTACTTGGAACGAGTGTTGGCAAAATGTTAATCTGATTAACGATTAAAAATTAATGATTAAAATGTCAATCGCGATTAACGATTAAAATTGATTAATCGTAATCATCCATACGATTAATGATTAATTTTTTTTAATCGTTAATCGTCGGTTGTGATTACGATTAAATAATTTTAATCATTAATCGTTAATCCAATTAAAAAAATCTGATTAAGTGGTCTGGTTTGTCCGAATTTGAAACCAAACACGGGTAAGAGTTATTTCTTTTGTGTTTCACACTTAAAAAAAACGCATAATATATAAAAAAATAATAATTATTATTGTTAATAATACATAAATTGGGAATTTTTTTATAACCCACCGTACATGTGCAGAGGGATATTAAAACCTAGTTTGCTTAGCGTCTGTTAAAATAGATCTTAATGAAAATGCACACCAAATTGCTTAGATTCATGAGGAAAACCGACTTTGCCATACCCGGTTAACTGGCCTTGTGTGCACAGTAAAATTCCAGCATAAATTAATTAATCACCAAACCTACTTAAACAAATTAAGGGTTAATGATTAAAAATTATTTTTTTTTAATCGCGGTTACGATTAACTGTTTAATCAGATTAAAATTAATCATGATTAACTGTAATCGGATTGAATTTAATCGAATTAATTAATTAATTGATTCAAACATCAATCGATTAGTGCCAACACTGCTTGGAACCAGAATGAACACCGATAATAATGTGAGCATCGAAATCCAACGCACACTCACTCTTGTCAATAAGTGCTACTTTGAACTGAGTAGGTAATTGGGAAGTAAAGTCCTCCCTCGACGTACGAAAACCACACTCTGTAAGGCACTCAACATTCCCTAGCAGAGAATTTAAATACAGCGGCTCAGCTGGCGTAGCCATGCCGGTCGAATGGATCAAAATGCACCAGCTTTCAAGGTTTCCAACTCGGAACCCGCTGGTGGTAGCAAAGGAAGATGGAAGTCCCCACTCCGATGGAAATACCAAATGGCAAAGGACTTGGCTATTTTTAAAAACTAAATAATAGATAAGTGGTAAGAAATAATC